ACAAAGGGAGTTTGATATCCAAAGGGGACAAAAAAGGATTAGCCAAAGGGAAGAAATCAATGCAATTTCAAGAGCAAAACCTTTGGCTGTGTTTGTCCTGAAGAGGTCCATGCTTCCCAACAGTGCAATTTCCTTTAATAAGTGCCAGACAACCCCGAATATTAAAATTTCAGGAGTGTTTACATCTATATGCTTTTCAGTATGTTCTTTATTGGCAGAGAGATCAAGGGCAATGAAGCCACATGTTTTTGAATGATTCATCAGAGCTTCAGCATCTCATTTCAGTCCTAGCTCCACTGAGAGGGAAGGAGGCTAAGATGGAGAGACAGGAGGCCACACTCCTCTTGTTACTTGAAGAGCCGGGGCTGTTGCTGGAGCGTGGAGCTTGTGGTGGGAAATGGCCTGGAGGCTGGACCTCTCAGATCTTGCTCTCTAAAACAGTCAGGGTTTCCAGGTTCCAGGAGTGGCACCGGCTTGTCTCTCATCCACGTTGTTTCCCATTGCACTGAGCTTTTCTGAAGCTTGGTATCTAAAAAATGAATATGCTTTTCCACAAACCTCATTAGGCTCTGAATCCCGCTGCTTGTTAGCTCCGTGCCCTGTGCATCTTAAACACTTTATGCCCCTAGCATTATGAAACCGAGATTGTACTGCTGACACTTTTCTAACGATACCTGCAGAAGCTGTGCCGAGGCAGTTTCTGCACTGATTTCACAGCCTGTGTGAGGAGAGCGCTGTATTGTGAGGAAGCCCCTGTACCATAAGGCAGTTCTTACTGGGAGGAGGTCCTCCATGGTGAGAGGAACCCTCCAATACGAGAGACAGTTCTTCACTAGGAGGGATGTTCTCCAACACGATGAGGGTCTCCTTGGTGAAGAGAGTCCTTCATTGTGAGGGTCAGCTATTGTGAGGAAGGGTCCTCCATCACAGAGAAGGTTCTCCATTGTGAGGAAAGTCTTTTGCTATAAGGAGCTTACTCCTTGTTAAAATGAGTCCATCCCCTTTAAGAGTTAAAGGAGGGGCCTCCATCATGATAAGGAGAGACCTCCATTATGAGGAGGGTCCATCATGATAAGGAGGGGCTTCCACCATCAGGAGAGTCCTCCACTGCACCTGAGAAGACCATAATTTGTGGCCAGTTAAAGCCTGTTATAGTAAGGTACTAAGGGATGTGTGTAGGAATTGGGCAGGCTTGGATTTGGACCACCAGGCTATCTTTTGAAGAGTTCTCTATATCTATTCTCTCTCTGTGAAATTGAGGCAAAGGAATTTATATATTAGAACTATTATTATGGGCAGTACTGCATGTTGGACATCAAGCAAAAGGACCACAATGTCATACAATCAAGACGTACTGATTGTCTTTACCACCACAACTAGCATAATTACTGCTATTGTTACTATCTCTACAACTACTCTAACTACTACTAGTGTTATTACTATTTAGTACTACCACCATTGTTATTATGACCATAACCAGCACTATTAAGCTTGTCCAACGAAAGCTGTTGTTACAACTACTACAACTGCTTTAACTACTATAACTGTTATTCCCACAGTTACTACTAGTATTCCCATTAGGACCACACAACCACTGCAACTACTACTACTGTTGTTACAACTACTGTTACAGTCTGCCAGTACCTGGTGGGCATGCCTGCACTTAGAAAGCTGTGCGGCCTGAGTGAGTAGGCCCTGGGCTTGGTGTGAATTGACGTTGTTATGGACATTCTTCTAAGTGGTACAGCACTGGTCTGTCTCTTTGCTGTACTGAAGTAACTTGGGGTTGCTGTGATGCTCAACACTGTACCAGAGGTGTGTCAAACACCATAATGGTTACCATCATGGACAGTGTTAGGTGGAGCTGCCACATTGATTCCGGTTTGGAAGGAGGAGTGGCATCCACTTCCTAAACCACATGCCTGCGGAAACTATGAACATGGAGAAATGATGATAGTCACAAGGTTCAGGTCTTTTTGTTCATGGGGTTACTATGAGTCGCACTCAACTCAATGGCACTTAACAACAACAACATTACTATTTCTACCACTGTTGTCACAAATGCTACCCCTACTGTTATGCACAGGGTAATTATATAAGACAGGAGTGAAATATAAATGAGAGGAATGACTTTAAAAACAGAAATTTATTCCACAGTAATGTGGAAAGCCAGCTTCAACTCCTAACACTCTATGTACAGTGGTATGGAACCCTTCTAGGTCCTGTTCTGGCCTCACGACAGCTGTGCATGACCCACTACTGCGGCCACCATGTCAGTCCATCTTGTTAAAGGTTTTCCGCTTTTGTATTAATTTCTGCTTTACTAAGCAGTGAATGTCTTCATTGATATCATAATTCAAATGCCATATTGTGGTCTTCTTTATTCATGCCCAGCTTTCACATGCACATGTTGTTGTTGTTAGGTGCCGCCGAATTGAATATGACCCTACTGACCCTATGAACAACAGATCTGAACTTTATCCTATCCTGTGCCATCCTCACACTTCCCAACACACTAGAGACCAGTACAGCAGTCACTGTGTCAATACACCCAGTCGGTAGTCTTCCTCTCCTCTGTCGACCCTTCACCCTTCCCAGTATCATGTCCCTCTCCCATGAACAGCCCTCCTAGCAACACGCCCAAAGTATGTGATGCAAAACCTCACCATTCTTGCCTTCAAAGAGCACTCTGGCTGCACCCTCTCTAAGACATATTTGTTTGTTATTTTGGCCGCCCATGGGATGTTCAGTACTCTTCTCCAACACCACAGCTCAAAGGCAACAATTCTTCTTCCATCATCTTTATTCATTGTCCATCTCTCAAAATCATAGCAAATGATTGGGAATACCATGGCCTGAATTAGACACACTTTAGTCCTCAAACTGACATCATTGTTGTTGTTGTTGATTGCCATCAAGTCAAGGTTGACTTATAGTGACTCTATGAACAAAAGACCTAATGCCTTTCCATAGCTATTGCTGTTTCTCCAGGTTCATAGAGTTTCCAGAGGCATGTGGTTTAGGAAGTGGATGCCACTCGTGCTCCCCAACCTGTTTTACAACTGGGAGCGCCACCAAACATTGTCTACAATGGGAAACCCATTATGGTATTTGATATCCCCATGGCACAAGGTTCAGCATCACTGCAAACCCAGGTTAATTCATACAGCACATTGACAAAGAGTGATGTGCAAAGTGGAAGAATGTTCCTCCAGATATAACAGCACTAGTCTCATTCAGCAGTGGTTAAGTGTCGTTGAGTCGAATATGACTCAGAGTAAGCTTTGCACAAAAGACCAGAACTCTGTTCTATAATTAACATAATTTCTGTACTTTCATAAGAGAGTTTGTAGGGTTTCTAGAGGCATCTAGCTTAGGAAGTGGATGCCACTCCTGCTTCCCAACATGAATCAATCTGGAAGCTCACCCAACTATTGTACATAACGGCTAACCATTATGGTGTTTGACATGATTATGGAGTAGTGTTCAGCATCACAGCAACTCCAAGTTGTTCAGTACAGCAAATAGACAAATGATTGCTGTGCCTTTTAAAGAATATTCTTCTAAAGGTTCAGGCCAGCCCAGAGACCCATCGCCTTATCATCAATTTTAAAGCCACTCCCTCGAGCAGGGCTCCACCCTTACCCTACTCCTCAATAATTTGGAGAGGTCCTTAACTGCAGATTTTCCCAGTGGAATGCATCTCTTTATTTCCTGACGGCTGGCACCAAGGGTGTTAATTGTGGATCCAAGTAAGATGAAGTTGTTGACAGTTTCAATCTCTTCTCCATCAATCATGATGTTGCCTATTGTACAATGCAATATGGCACTACTTTTTTTGACTGCTACATTCATAGGTATTGATTGTATTTCCAAGTAAAAGGAAACCTTTGACATCATCCACCTTTACTGTGTTTATCATGTTACTTATTGGCCTAGTAGTGAAGATTTTTGTTTACTTTACATGGAATCTTTTCTGTTGGATTCCATTCTTTTTCTCAAATGGGCACAAATATGAATCTCTTCCAGTCGGTTGGCCCAGGTATAGTGAGCACATCCAGGACTGCATCTGTTTGCTGAAATACATCAATTTCTGTCCCATCAGTTTCTGGATCTTTATTTTTTGTCAGTGCCTTCAGTCCAGGTTGGACTTCTTCCATCGTTACCACTGGTTCTTGATCATGTGCTATACACTGAAGACACACAATAACAACAACATACCCGTGGATATGATCTCAGTGGGGAACAGCAGGCACCTCTGCTATGTTAGTGAGGCTGTATCACTGTATGCCGTGTCTGAAACCCAATCATTTCTGATATATAAGAAGAACAGAGAAAGCCTAGAAGGTGGACACCAGGAGGGACTTCTGAGGAAGCAAGAACACGAAGCTACAGAAGCTGAGACAGGAATCTGTCCGAGTCACACAAAAAGCCTTCCTCTAGGACGAGCTTCCTGAATTGAGAAGCTCCTGTTCACCAAAGCCCCCAGTGGCAGCCCTTCTGTTCTGAGACAGGCCCTCGGGCAGTGTATCTGGGGAAGAAGGAACTGAAGCGAGGACGGCAGGGGAGGGAAGAGCAGAGGGCTGTCCTGTTGGAACATTGGAACTGCTAATTGTATCGTCACCAGCCATGGAAGCAAGAGTCAAGAGACCAACTGACATACTGCATATGGCCAAAGTGCTGCCCAGGACGTCACTTTGAAGACACTAATTTCACAGGGACCACTCCACACAGTGTTTCCAAGCTCGTTTGAATTCCCCAGATTGTAGTTCTTCTCCTGGAACTTCCATTTCCTATAGCATTCTCTGGATCTCTGTCATGGTGGTTTATCACCACCAGGGATGACCGAATAGGCAAGGGACTCACTGGCTGAATGTGCTGGGCTCTGTAACCCATTCGTGCCACCATGCTGGTGAAATAAAGCCCTATGCCACCCCTCACCCTTCCCACCCACACCGTCAGCCCCACCCAGGACCCATGCTGTGCACCCAGCCGCCCACCTGTAGCACCAACGTCCTCTCCCGCCGGGTGATGTTCAGGCTGTGTGGCTGCCCGTTGGCCATGTTCCTGTGGTCAAGGTTGATGTTGTAGGGGTCTCGGGTGCCGCCCAGGTTGTACCGAATCTGCAAGTTTCCTGTGGGGAAGACGAGAGATTGGTGACGAGCTCATGCAGAGCCTTATTCCGATGCTCCCAGCTCCCCAGATGTTTCTGCCGAGCCCCCTCCTCCTGAGTGTCCACTGCCGCCCCCTTCTGCACTTGGTTTCGCCCCTGTGAAGCGGGACAGGCACCTCTGGCTCACGTGGGTTCACAGCCCACCCACAAGGAGCCATGAGTGGAGGACACAGCTAGTTGTGTGCTTGGTGTGGAGGGGGAAGAACACAGTCTGCACTGGACAGGGAAGAGGCACCCACAGAGTGCTTTGAGGTGGACCAGAAATGACGTGCAGGGAGGCTCCCCACAAAGTGTGATATGATAGAATTGGGGTACAGGGCATCCTCCTAGGGTGCTGTGGGATAGAGCAGAACTCAGACTCAAGGCCCTGGAAACTCTCTCACAGGCTGGGAGCTCCAGCCACCCAACGTCAAGGTTGACTGCACCAAGAGGAGGCTGTTCTTCCCCGCCTGAAATTTTAAAGCCTTCCAACCTGAGAGAGGGGCTGTAATGGCTTCATGTGAGGCCAACCTGAATGCAGGCGGTTTGAGTCCAGCAGCTGCTGCTCAGGAGAGACAGGCAATCTCCTCCCACGGCAACTTAGGGCCTTTGAAAACTTGCTGGAGGCCCGGCTGAGTTAGTTCCCCTCAAGGGCACAGAACAGCCAACCCCTGAGGGACTCAGCACCAGCACTGAACAACCAGGCAATGCTCCCTGCTGAGCAGAGGCTTTCCAATGGCATGTTAACACAGAAGTCTTAGTTGGACACTCTGGTGAAACCGGTCCACCAGGGGTGAACCTGCTGATGTTTGAAGACTGGTAGCATAGCTTCTGGTATCACGGGAATCTGCAAACCACCGTGATTTGGCTCCTGAGCAGTGGATTTTGCCCTTAGCATTCTCAGAGCTTGAAATTCACCTTCAGTTCCTTCAGTCTGGTAAGTGCTCGGTGCTCCTTTCCAACTGGTTTTCTAACTCCAGATCTTTGCACATTCCATTTTCTCTTACCATGCTTTCCCAAGCTGCCCTAAGTCGGCTCCACTCCTTTACGCCATCGTTTCTCCCATTTGGTTTAGCTATGCTGACATTCTGTAGCAAGTTTCTGAGTCTCTTCCAACATTTGTCTTGGTATTTTTCCTTTGGTGTGGTGTGTAGAAGTTAACAGGTATCTGTTGAATGAATGTATAGATGGCCTCCCTTCTGTTTCCTGCCCGGTGTTTGCATACGTCCACTTGCAGCTGCACGCAGGATAATGATCTGACCACATTCTCAGTAGAACCCTGATGCCCCCTGTGACTAGATTCTCCTGTCACCTTACTTCCAGAACGGTGGGTCATCTCCCACTGTTCATTCTCAGAAACTTTGGGCTTGGTCTCTGGATTACACTGAGGTGTTTCTACCACAGGATCTTTGGACGTGTGGGCACTCTTCTTGAGATGCTTCTCACCCCACCCCTTATCATCTCACCCAAGTGACATAAAATAATTTCTAGTTTGTGGTGAGATAGATCATCATGCAATTTGGAAACAAGCTTATTGCACTTCTTCTCTCCTTTGATCCTATCTGGTCCTTTGGCATCAGAGAAGCCTGGGCTCTTTTACGCCCTGCAGTCATATCAATTCACCAGTTCTCCCCTGTCTCCCTGGAGCATACACTTGGGCCCATGCCAGGCACTGCTGGACCGGCTGCCCTGAGGTCTCACCAGGCTGGCTGGCTGGCTACTTGTGTAGAGTCCACTTCCAATACCAACACTTGTCCCTGTCCCCTAGGAAGCCTGGCCTGTAGACCAAAGATAAGCCAGAGGTGGGCCTGCCTTTGATGCCTTCAGACTGATGAATGGGGATTATGCAAATGGGTCATTCCCTCTGTCCAGATGTCCAGTCCCTGTTTGCTCCCAGAGCTAAAAAGTCCAGTTCTACGTTGTTGCCATTGCTGCCTTCTCTTTTCTGGCTTTTTTGGACACAGGACATATGATTGAAAATTTCTCTAACTGCTTCATTTAACGGCAAAAGAGATAATTTGCTGTAAAGAAAAAAAATAAGTTGGAACTTGAAATTTATATATAGTGGGTATCAATAAATTGTAATGGGCATATTCTTAAATAATTAATTTAAAGGACTTATTTGTTCTTTCCAGAAAACAGTGACAGAAACCACTACATGGTGGTAAGCAGAATCTGAACATTTGCTCATTAATGTAAAATGTTTTATGTAATGTAATATGTCAGAACTTGTTCCCATCTTGTGTGCCCTGTTCCTCCTGGGAGAATGAGAGCAGAGTCTCTGTGATTGACCATGGCAAATCAAACAAGGAGCCCAACAGACAGATGTCCTCCTGGCCATTGCCAGAGCTGTCGGCACACTCACTATGCACCTGGGGAGGCAAGAGGTGGTGGGCTGGGAGCGTCCCTCTCATTTAGAAGACAGGACACAATCATCATGAAGACAGAGAACAACAGTGCACCCAGTGCCAAATGGACAGCACTGGGACAGGCGGGTGCATGGACGACACTGGGACGGGCTGGTGCCAGGGCATTTCCGGGGGAGGGAAGGAGCTGGGAGGAAGTGAGACCCAGTGGGTGGGTTGAGAGAGAGGAGGTGGTGATACCGAGGGTGAAAAGTCCCAGAGGCCTGTGAAGGGAGTTTCCTGGAAGGAAGAGGACGGAATACAGAATTTGCTGGAAGTGCTCCGTCAGTCTGAGGCTTTGGAGAGGAAAGGCACTAACACACAGCGATTATTCAGGTGATTTACAGGTGTAACCCCTGAACTTTCACAGCACTGAGACAGGACACATTGCTCTGCAGGAGAGGAAATGGTCAACCCAGTACGCAGAGTTGCAAATGGCAGAGGCAAGGTCCGTCTTAGACAGCACAACTCTACGTCCACGCTCTAACCACAGGCTCTGCTGGCTGATGGGCCTGGCTGGAGGGCTTCAGGATAAGGACTCATTCCTAGTTCCTGGGGGCACCACTAAAGGCTTGGTAGTGATGGAAGGACAGTCCCTTGCATGTTGTGGTTGATGTTGTTATGTGCCGTCAAGTCGCCTGTGACTTACAGTGACCCTATGTACAATAGCCCTAAACCCTGTTCTATCCTGTGCCAATCTCACTGTCTCCGACATACCCATCCCGATTACCCCAGTCACTGAATCAATCCACCTCATAGAGGGCCTTCCCCTCCTGCGCTGTCCCTCCACCCTCCTAGGCATGACGTCGCTCTCCAACGATTGGTCCCTCCTTACAACATGTCCAAAGTATGTCAGACAAAGCTTCAAAATCCTTACCTCCAATGAGCAGCATGGTTTAACCCTCTATAGAACAAACCGGTTCATTTTCTTAGCAGTCCATGATACCTTCAATACTCTCTTCCAACACCACAGCTCAAAGGCATCAATTCTCCTTCTATCATCCCTAGTCATTGTCCAGCTCTCTGAAACATAGCAAGTGATTGCAAAGACCATGGACTGTATCAGGAGCACCTTAGTCTCCAGACTGACATTGTTGCTCTTCAGTTCTTTGGAGAGGTCTCTAACAGTCGACTGTCCCATCACAATACGTCTTTTGATATCCTTGCTGTTAATGCCAAGAGTATTGACTGTGGAGTCAAGCAAATTAAAGCTGTTAACAGTCTCAATCTCTTCACCATTCATCATGATGCTGCCAATTTGGCCTGGTGGTAAGAATCTTTGTTTTCCTGATATTGAGCTTCCATCTGTACTGAAGGCTACATACAGTGCTTGACCTTCTACAGCAAGTGCTTCAGGTCCTCCTCAGTTTCAGCAAGCAGGGTTGTATCATCTGCATAACAGACTGTTGATGAATTTTCCTCCAATCCTAATGCCACATTTCTCCTCATACAGCCCAGCCTCCCAGATAACCTGTTCTGCATATAGGTTGAAAAGGTATGGAGACAGGACACATCTCTGGCATACATCCTTCCCAATTTTGAACCATGCAGTGTTTTCTTGCTCTGTTCTGACAACTGCCTCCTGGTCCAAGCATAGGTTTCTCATTAGCGTGATCAGGTGTTCTGGGATTCCCATTCTTCTCAGAGTCAGCCACAGTTTTTATGATCCACGCAGTCAAATGCCTTTGCATAGTCAATGAAACACAGATAGACATTCCTCTGGTATTCCCTGCTTTCAGCCAAGATTCATCTAACATTAGCTACAATATCCCTATTACCACAATCCCTTCTAAACCCAGCCTGGACTTCTGGCAGTTTTCTGTTGATGTGCTGTTCTAGTCATTTTGGGCTAATCTTCAGCAGAATCTTGCTTGCATGTGATATTAATATGTTCAATAGTTTCCACACTCTGTTGGGTCACCCTTCTTTGGAATGGGAACAAATATGGATCTCTTCCAGTCAGTTGGCCAGATGGTTGTCCTCCAGATTTCTTGACACAACTTGGTGAGCACATCTAGGGTAGCATCTGTTAGTTAAAATATGTCAATTGGTGTGCCATCAATTCCTGGGGCCTTATTTTTGGCCAATTTTTTCAAAGCAGCTTGAACTTCTTCCTTGAATGTAGGGAGTCAGTTAAGGGGAAGCCAAGTAAAATAAGAGACAGGATAGAGCTTCTTAGCTTCCCTCATAAACAACAGGGGTGCTAGCGCTGGCTCCTCTCAAATGTCAGCAGCCTGTGGAAGGTGAGTGTGATAAGGTCACCCTGGTGGCCTTAAAACATGTTGTATCTGTCCATACCATAACTTTCCATCAAGCGGTGACTCGAATGGTATTGGGAAACACTAGATCAGAAGTTGGCTCTGGACTCAGCATGGAATCCGAGGAAAGTACTTGAGAGCAGCCCTAGGAAACTCACACACATCCTTTCCCACCCCTCTCCCTGATTCCATGCACACTTCCAGTGCTTCCCATTCCATATGTACTTCCCATCCCCCCATTTCTGATTCCATTTGTCCATCTGTCCTCCTCCCTGATTCCATATGCACATCCATTTCCACCCCTTCTTCCTGAGGAGTC